TATCTTTGCTGGAGATATTCATAGGATAGTTAGATGTATTCTCCTCCTGCCAAAACCTTGCTCCCCAACCCCACTGAACATTAAGGGGAATCCATCTCTCCTGTGTGGTGTCTTTTGTGCTTCACTAAGGCTGAATTCACAGCAAAACATGTCCCACATTCCAGGCACTGGTATGGCTTCTCTCCTGTGTGAAGTCTTTTGTGCCTCACAAAGGTGGAACTCACAGCAAAACATTTCCCTGGGAGCAGAGCAGAGCATCCATCTACACAACAGAGAAAGAAGGTCTCAGCTTGGGGTCAAGTCCCAGGGCTCCCTTTTCCCAAGGAGGAGGAGGACAGACTTGGGTGGGAGAGACAACCAAAGCACCCACCACAAGCAGGCTCTTCCTTGCACACAGCCTTTGAGGAATCCCCTGCTCTCCAAAGCCGCACTCTGCCAAGGGAGGGAAGCTTCATTCACAACATACGGTATATACTCGAGTATAAGCCGACCCAAATATAAGACAAAACAAACGTGAACTATATGTGGTTTGTTTTACATTACACCACAACGTACTGTGTATACTTGAGTATAAGCCGACCCAAATATAAGACAAAACACCTAATTTTACCACAAGAAAATCAGGAAAACGTATTGACTCGAGTAGAAGCCACAGGTGGGAAATGCAGAAGTTACTGGTCAATTTTAAAAATAAAAATAGATACCAATAAAATTACATTAATTGAGGCATCAGTAGGGTAAATGTTTTTGAATATTTACATAAAGCTGTAGTTCAAGGTAAGACTGTCCAACTCTGATGAAATCATTATTGTGGAGGCTGAAAGAGTGTGGCGTCTCTGAAACTCTGGGGCAGAGTTTCAGAAATGCAGAATGGAACTGAAAGGATGCCAATGAGAATGATTATTAATTGTTATCATTGCCCAGTGGCACAATGGGTTAAACCATTGAGCTGCTTAACTTGCTGATCAAAAGGTCGCAGTTTTGAATCCGGGGAGAGGCATGAGCTCCCGGTGTTAGCGCCAACTTCTGCCAGCCTAGCAGTTTGGAAACATGCAAATGTGAGTAGATCAATATGTTTCACTTCAGCAGGAAGGTAACGGTGCTCCATGCAGTCATGCCGGCCAGATGGCTTAGAGGTGTCTATGGACAATGCCGGCTCTTTGGTTTAGAAACGGAGATGAGCAACAACCTCCAGTCGGACACGACTGGACTTAAACTCAGGGGAAAACCTTTACCTTAATCATTGTTCATACTTTCTCCCAGTCATGGACTCCAGGTTTATAGGAGATAAAACAGACACAGCTTTTACATTATGTAAAAGTTTAAAATATAACTAAAATAAAATAAAATACAGACCATTGGAAGGAAGAACAGCAAATATAGAAAACACAGAACATGGAAGGTCTTTTTTCCTGTCCAATCACCCCCCAAAGGCCTGAGGAAACAAAAGGATCTTCACTTGCCTACAAAAAGATAGCAAATGGTAGTTCCCCATTTTTAGCCCATAAGAGGGATATTGTCTGTCCATCCATCCATTCTTTTCTCAATTAAATGCAATCTATTATGTGCTGTGGTTTCACATATTCTTGCTTGCACCCTCTCTATCCTCTGCACAGCAACCCTGCAGGAGGGCGCATGAACGGGAACAGATGGGGGAAAGAGGTCTGCTCCTCCCTCCCTGTTATTGCCCTGTGTTTTTTTCAGCCCCACGCCTTCCCGCCAGGACCCTCAACCGAGTATAACCCGAGGTGATCTTTGTCACCCTAAAAAAAAGGGCTAAAATTGAGCTTATACTTGAGTATTTACAATGAGTATTTTAAAAAATATGTGGCATGGCAATCGAAGGATTGTCACAAGGAGCTTGCTTTCTGCTGCTCCAAGAACATGACCCCAATTTAGAGATTTAAAGGACAAGAAAGGGGACTCTACCAAATCTTAGGCAGAACTTCTCAAAGGTTGTGTCTGTATTCAAATGTTTACCCACAATGGCTGACCAGGAGAAAGACAGTCCAGTCCCATGGTAATACCGGTGTCCAGAGAAGCAAGTGCCCTGCAAAACAGTCCCAAGTCAAACAAAGCTAAATAAGTCAAGCCAAACCTTACTTGAAGCCAAGGGAATCACATCCCTTACTTGGGAAATGTTGAATGTATAGCTTACATCACAAGAATGTACAGAACCCGCCATTTCCCTGTTGCAACATATTTTATTAGTTTTATCCAGCTCTTTGGATGATTTCTCTCCTGTATGTAGTCTCTTATGGTTCAAAAGTATGAACCCCAATAAAAACATTTCCCACGTGCCTGGCATTTGCTTGTTTTTTAACCTGTGTGAATTAGGTGGTGCTTTATAAAGGATGAAATGTGACTAAAACATTTCCCACAATCCATGCATCTGTGTGAGGTTTCTTCAGTGTGAACTTTCTTGTGGCTCACTAAATATGAACTGCGAGCAAAACATTTCCCACACTCCTGGCATTGGTATGGTTTCTCTCCTGTGTGGAGTCTTTTGTGGCTCACAAAGTGTGAACTCACAGCAAAACACTTCCCACACTCCTGGCATTGGTATGGCTTCTCTCCTGTGTGGAGTCTTTTGTGCCTCACCAAGTGTGAACTTTGAGCAAAACATTTCCCACACTCCTGGCATTTGTATGGCTTCTCTCCTGTGTGGAGTCTTTTGTGATTCACCAAGGCCGAACTCACAGCAAAACATGTCCCACACTCCAGGCACTGGTATAGCTTCTCTCCTGTGTGAAGTCTTTTGTGGCTCACCAAGGTGGATCTCACAGCAAAACGTTTCCCACACTCCTGGCATTGGTATGGCTTCTCTCCTGTGTGACGTCTTTTGTGCTTCACCAAGGCTGAACTCACAGCAAAACATTTCCCACACTCCTGGCATTGGTATGTGTTCTCTGCTGCATGGAGTCTTTTGTGACTCACTGAGTGTGAACTCTGGATAAAAGATTTTCTACACTCTTGGCTTATGAAATCCTCAGTTCCTTCAAAGATTTCTTCTTGGCTTAGATCTGACAGTTTGTAATCAGCAATACATTTTGCTGATATATTCCATTTACAATGGCTTTTCCCAGCACTGAGCGTCTTGTGAAGTATAAGTCCCATATTTTGGCTGAAACACTGCCCACATACATTGCATTTGTAGGACCTTTCTCTGGCAGAATCTCCATCTTCTCTGTGGGTTTGCTGGTGTCTAGGAAGGCCCCCAATGTGTTCCAAATGCTTCCTGTGTTTGGTGTTCCAGTTATCTGCTGTGAAGAAGGGCAGAAACAGTGTGAGTGATAAGGACTCTAGGGAATTGGTATAAGATTGAAATGATCCTTAAAACCATATAGAAATGGAAGAAAATAAAATATAAATGCTGCCTTCTACCCACCTCTTGTTCAGTAAAGATGAACACTGTTTGACTGCCAGGGGCCTCTAAAGGAAAGGTGAATAACATATGCTCCAGAGGCTACCTGTTCCACAGCCCAGCCTGGCTTTCTATTCTGTCTCCTTCTTATGAGGGAATGGATGACTTTTCCCTTCACATTCCAATGCTTGCCTTCTTCTCTAGCTAAATCTTTACCTTGCTAGCACCCATTTCACAATCGCTCCCTCCTTTTTATTTCTCTCCCCCAACCTCCAGTTCTCTCTTCCCAGGTTCACTTAAGGTTGGATTTTTCTGCTCCAAAGTAGAAGGTCCTATAACTTATTTCAAAGTGCTAGAGAGATGGTTACTGTTTTGAATGACAAGGCTGCAAACATAGTGACTGTAAAGAAAAAGAGGAGAACAATAATGAAGGCAGAGAAGGGAACAAAAAAGGGAATGTCTGCAGACATCCATGTAACACCACTCTTGAGAGAGTGGATATTGCCTCCTAACCATCCCGGTTTGTGAGGAGTGAGAAGACTGTGCACCAGAGAGAAGAGCTGTTGGTAATCCAAATGCCGCAATCACAGAGACTTCTTGGAAATACCATTCTGTGGACTGTCCCTTTGTTCAGCCAATTGCTCTGGTTCCAATATCTGTATAATTCTGCCTGGGTTTTACAGGGGAGCTGCAACTTCTTCACTAATGAGAATTTAGAGAAGTGGCAGGGGATATATGAACTATTTCCTAACCTTTAGGTTGGAATAAATATACAGAGTGTTTCAAAAAGATGGACTCAATTTGAAATAGCTAGATTTCTGCAATTGTGAATCCTCCATGAATGACACTCTCACCACTTGAAAGAGAGGGCCATAGAGTTGGATTACTACTATATGGCTCTCCCAGTGCACAAAAAACCCCGAGCCCCAGTTATTCACAAGAACACAACATAGGACGCATTATGTTGCAGGTCACCATCTTGTGAATGATTGAGGTCAGGGGCTGTTTGTGTGCTGCAAGACACAATGTAGAATAAAGGATAGTGTAGAAAAAAGAGGCAGCGTAGAAAATGTTATTTATTTATTTATTTATTATTTGGGGTGCTTCTACCACGCCCTTCTCAACCCCCTAGGGGGGACTCAGAAAAAAAGTTGGCCTGCTCGGTTGGGAGGAAAAACTAAGTTGAATACCACACCAATAGTAAGACGTATAGCCATCTGCGTATCTGAATCTGGGGGGGGGGGGGGGGGGGGGGTGTTCTTTTTCATTATCCATTCTCTAGCCACTTTATTTATTATTTATTTATTTTATTTATTTACTTCACTTGTATACCGCTCTTCTCAGCCATCAGGCGACTCAGAGCGGTAAACAACCAGTATCAACAACACAGTACAAAAGCATTAATCATTTAAAACAGTAATATCAATTAATTAACATCAGAACATCAACAATACAGGAAAACAACAATCCATCACGTCTCATCAATAGAATCAGCATCCGATCTTGTTGTCCATTAATCCATATTCCAGTAATCAATCAATTGCACTGCTTAGTTGAAAGCCTGTTGGAAGAGCCAGGTCTTCACTCTCTTCCCAGTAAGGAGGGGGCCGATCTAATGTCTGTAGGAAGGGCGTTCCACAGCCGGGGGGCCACTACTGAGAAGGCCCTGTCTCTCGTCCCCGCCAGGCGTGCTTGTGAAGCCGGCGGAACCGAGAGCTGGGCCTCCCCGGATGATCTTAACGTCCTAACTGGTTCAATCTGTTTCCTCCCTCTCATTGCCTCTTTCTCTCACACACACACTCACCAGGGGATGGGGGTGGGGAGAAAGACACAGAATGATCCAGGGTAATCACTCTTGATAGATTTTCTACACATTCCCACCTGAGGAGGCCCTAAGAAAGTTTTAAAAGGAGGTTTAGGTCAAGAGGAGAAGCTGTAATCGTTTCTAAAACATGCCACCTTGAAATAGCAAATCAGCTGAGAGAAAAAGAAGAGATTATTCCCTGTATCCGAAAGAGTAAGGGGCTCTTATATTACTATTATGTCATATTAGTCCTTGGAGTCCTTGTGGATAACAAGTTAAACATGAACCAACAATGTGATGCTGCAGCTAAAACAGCCAATGGGATTTTGGCCTGCATACATAGGAGCCTAGTGCCTAGATCCAGGCAAGTCATGCTACCCATGCTCTATTCTGCTTTGGTTAGACCACACCTGGAATATTGTGTCCAATTCTGGGCACCACAATTGAAGAGAGATATTGGCATGCTGGAATGTGTCCAGAGGAGGGCGACTAAAATGATCAAGGGTCTGGAGAACAAGCCCTATTATGAGGAGCGGCTATTATGAGGAGCGGCTTAAGGAGCTGGGCATGCTTAGCCTAAGAAGAGAAGGCTGAGAGGAGACAGGATAGCCATGTATAAATATGTGAGAGGAAGTCATATGGAGGAGGGAGCAAGCTTGTTTTCTGCTGCCCTGGAGATTAGGACACAATGGAAGAATGGCTTCAAACTACAGGAAAGGAGATTCCGCCTGAACACTGGGAAGAATTTCCTAACTGAGAGAGCTGTTCAGCAGTGGAGCTCTCTACCCCAAAGTGTGGTGAAAGCTCCTTGTAGGGAGGCTTTTAAACAGAGGCTAGATGGCCATCTGTTGGGACTGCTTTGAATATGATTGTCCTGCTTCTTAGCAGGAGGTTGGACTGGATAGCCCACGAGGACTCTTCCAACTCTATGATCCTATGATTCTACATATTTCTAACATAAGCCCTGCCTTGAAGACCATCAGTGATTGGGATGATTTCGGAAATTACTTCCACCAGAGATCTGCTGACTGGGATCCTGCATTTTCAAATAGAAATCCCCATCCATGAGGGAGACTTACCAAGAAAATCCACCATCCCATGAATCTCCTCCATGATCTGCACATGCAGGACTTTCTGACCATGATTCAGGAGAGCCCACTCCTCCAAAGAGAAATGGACAGCCACGTCCTCAAAGGCGACTGGGCCCTGGTGGAAAAAGGAAAATAAGGGAAATCAAGAAGAATAATTACAAGAATCTTTTGAAATGATTTACATTTATGTTGGTTCAATCTTTTCTTTTACAAAATTTTTTTGATAACAGAGCCTGGAAGAAATGACCCCCCAGGCAGCTCCCTTTCTCCTGTCCCAGGAATCCTTCTGCTTACCTGATTCAGTTCCACTCCATCACAAAGGGGAAGAAATGACTGAGGATTCAGCAACAGCATCGTTCTAGCCTCTAGGATAACAAGGTGCAGAAAGTGATCACAGAGGTGACAATCACAGTCCTGAAAAGAAACCTATGAGAAAATGGCCCTCTGAACACAGGAGCATTCTCCAGCCCAGGAATATGTAAAGTTTTGGAGTTTAGGCCATTTCATCTCAAGCAGTTCTTTAAGTAGCTCGGATTGAAACTAGTACTGGGCTTGGTATTTCAATTGACTCAAGTTATTCTTTGTTGTCTGTTTGTCTTCCAGCTCAGTTTCAGGGCTCATCTTAGCTCCGGGTTTCACCTGGGAACATACCATACGGCTGATATTTCAGTCCCACTAAACAGTATGCAAATGTAGAAGTAGAAGGATAAAGAAAACTGAAATCCCACTGAAATTACACCTTTTGTAACCAAATGCTTACCTATATACTCATCTCAAGGCCAAATGATCCTACACGTATGCCTTCTCTAGCTCAAATGGATTGTGCATTTGTTACAATCCCCTGAAGGGGAAAGTTACACCGGCATAAAACAGCAAAACACCCCAAAGGGTTCCTTCCTACCTTCTAAGGCTGCAGCCCCATCTCCTTCCTGCTTGAGCTCTTCCTGCTGGAGGCTCTGGGTGGCGTCTGGCAGAGTTTTCTCCGATTCAGAGACATCAGGATGGACTTCAATGCAGTTAGTTTGGGCCTGGAAGAGCACAGAGTATTCCATAACTAGTGTGGAGAAAATTTTAAAAAATCACAGACCTATGTGCAGAAACTGCATGGCCTTTTTGAAAAGAATAACTCTGAGTTTGAAACAAATGCCATGCTCCCCTCCCATCATTTTCAATGTTATATCTAAGATCAACAAATTAGAGTTGAGGAGCAACCGAGCTTACAGTGGATATGGAGGTGAGAGCAGGAGGGGCAGAGCAAGGGGGAAAAGAGGCTGAGGGAGCAGAGTCTGACTTCTCCCTCACATCTGTCCCATCTTGGAAGGAAGGCAGGATGTACGTTTAATCTCTCCATCGGTCCCAAGGTGCGTGAAGCCAAGAGGCAATGCTCTCACCTGTCCTTCCTGCTTCTCGTCCTCTGCCCGACTCAGGAGGAAGCCTTCCGCCAGGGCCACCGCCTGGGAAGAGGTCTCTGCCCCACACTCTCGGACCCAGCTCCCCATCTCTGGGGGCAGGATGCTCAGGAACTGCTCCAGGATCACCAGGTCCAGCATCTCCGCCTTGGTGTGTTGCTCTGGCTTCAGCCACTGGCGGCAGAGAGAGTGGAGGCGGCTGCAAACCTCTCTGGGTCCCTCGCCCTCTCGGAAGGAGGAATGCCTTAAGCGCTGGCACTGTGTGTGTTTATCCAGGATCATCTGTGTAGTTATTTCCCAGGATTTCCCACTGTTTCCGGGGGCCGTGCCTGCTTGAGGTCCGGGTGAGTTGAGTCTCTCCATGTTGGAGCCACTCTGATGAAGAACCCTACCGTATCAAAGATGCTTTTCCTCCCTCTTTTCACAAGGGAAAGAAATCCCTCAACAGGCGCGACTCCAAAATTCTCCCCCAAAAATCACATTTCCTCTGTGAAAAAATGCAGAATTAGACAACAGACTTTGGGACGCTTTTTCTTTTAGAGTAAAAAAAAAAGCCCTTAATTTATCAATTTCCGAGCCAGGTAATGCTGGGCACTCCTTTCACTCGGGCCTCTGCTTCTCCAGCCTCCAGACCCACCTGGCCTCACCTGGCCTCCCATTGAGCTCCCATTCAATCCTACACTGAATCCCCCCTTGATTCCTTCAGCTGATGGCTCATGATCCATAGCCTTTCTTGTAAATATAACAACAACTAAAGAAAAATATTTGGAAATCCAAATGACAAACACAAACTCTGAATTATTTTTTAAAAAAACCTTATGGGGGGAAAAGAGGACCCAGACAGGGAGGTGAGTGGGTTGGGTGGGGAAAGCCATGGGCCTCTCTTTCCTCCGAAGGATCTCCTGGTTGGAGAAGTGACAACCTCGCAGTCTGTTGTGATGACCCCAATCCCCTTTGCATCAGGCCCCCTTTTCTCCATGGTGAAGGTGGCTCAAGGCCAGGCTCCATCTCCTTTCAAGGAGGAGAACTTAGGAAGTGGTTGTTTTCCTTATTCTAGATGAGTGTGTGTCTCCACGTGTGTCAGGAGGGCAACCTGTGAGTGAAACAGGTCTGGGCCAACTTTGTGCCTCCCTCCAAGTGTTTTGGGCTTCAGCCCCTCTTCGGCCCTTTGGAGAAGAAGGTCTGGGAAGAAGACCCACCAGAAGGAGAGGAGGAAGGAGAAGCCAAAGGGGGAAACTCTTCTCTTCTCTCCCAGCCAGGCAAGGAAGGGTGAAGGGGAGGGGGTTTGGTTCCTAGAGGGGCAGGAAAGATGGGTCTAAGGAGGCCCACTTCCTTCCTGCCTCTCTGGGAACCACACTCCCTCCCCTTAACCCTTCCTTGCCCAGGGTGACACTGGAAGGAGGTGGAAAGAGCATCTCTCCAAAGCCCTGGAACCAAAGGACTAAAGGCGATGGCATAGATATAGCCATGGAAGAACAATTCCCTATTCATAGGATAGTTAGATAGATATCTTCTCTCCCTGCCAAACCCTTGCTGCCCAACCCCACTAAACATTAAGGGGAATCCATTCATCCAGGGAGCAGAGCAGAGCCTCCACCCACAACAGAATCATAGAATCAAAGAGTTGGAAGAGACCTCATGGGCCGTCCAGTCCAACCCCATTCTGCCAAGAAGCAGGAATATTGCATTCAAATCACCCCTGACAGATGGCCATCCAGCCTCTGTTTAAAAGCTTCCAAAGAAGGAGCCTCCACCACACTCTGGGGCAGAGAGTTCCACTGCTGAACAGCTCTCACAGTCAGGAAGTTCTTCCTCATGTTCAGATGGAATCTCCTCTCTTGTAGTTTGAAGCCATTGTTCCGTGTCCTAGTCTCCAAGGAAGCAGAAAACAAGCTTGCTCCCTCCTCCCTGTGGCTTCCTCTCACATATTTTTACATGGCTATCATATCTCCTCTCAGCCTTCTCTTCTTCAGGCTAAACATGCCCAGCTCCTTAAGCCACTCCTCGTAGGGCTTGTTCTCCAGACCCTTGATCATTTTAGTCGCCCTCCTCTGGACACATTCCAGCTTGTCAATATCTCTCTTGAATTGTGGTGCCCAGAATTGGACACAATATTCCAGGTGTGGTCTAACCAAAAGCAGAATAGAGGGGTAGCATTACTTCCCTAGATCTAGACACTATGCTCCTCTTGATGCAGGCCAAAATCCCATTGGCTTTTTTTGCCGCCACATCACATTGTTGGCTCATGTTTAACTTGTTGTCCACGAGGACTCCCAAGATCTTTTTCACATGTACTGCTCTTGAGCCAGGCATCGTCCCCCATTCTGTATCTTTGCATTTCGTTTTTCCTGCCAAAGTGAAGAAAGAAGGTCTCAGCCCGGGGTCAAGGCCCAGGGCTCCCTTTTCCCAAGGAGGAGGAGGACAGGCTTGGGTGGGAGACACAACCAAAGCACCCACCACAAGCAGGCTCTTCCTTGCCCACGGCCTTCGAGATATCACCTGCTGCAAGACCTGCTCTCCAAGGCCGCTCTCTGCCAAGGCAGGGGAAGCTTCATTCACCTAGCATGCATCAAGAGGTGAGGGTCCTGGTGCAAAAGCAGGGAATTAAAGGGCTTTTTTCAGCCCCACGCCTTCCCACCAGGACCCTCACTTGAGTATAATCTGAGGGGAACTTTTTCACCCTAAAAAAAGGGCTGAAACACTTGGCTTATACTTGAGTATATATAGTATTTAACCCTCTGAAGGACTGGCTTTCTGCTGCTCCAAGAACAGGACCTCACCTTATTACCTGGAGAGATCAGGAAAGCCCCTACCTTAGAAACCTTTAGAACCTCAAAACCTGGCTCTTCTGCAGTGCCTTTGGTGAGCAGGTCTACAACATGACACTACTGCTCCCCTCAACGCTTCTGTCACTGGAGTATACAACCCCCTCCCCCCAATGGGAAAGTCTGGTTTCATAACCCTGTGTTTTTTATGAGTTGTAAATAACTTGCTCCTCTTCTTATCTCATTCGAGTTTTAAAACATTTTATCCTGCACATGTGGCCCACCCACTGTCATTGTGATTGTGTTTATTGTAATGTTATATTGTTTTTGTATTCATGTTTTTATGTAATTATGATGCTGTTGCTTGTTGCTTATGGTTTTGGTTTTGTCTGGGCTTGGTTTCATGTAAGCCACCCCGAGTCCCCGTTGGGGAGATAGTGGCATGGTATAAATAAAGATTATGATTATGATTATGATTATTATGGATTTAAATGACAGGAAAGGGGACTCTACCAAATTTTAGGCAGAACTTCTCAAAGGGTTGTGTTTGAAATCAGATGTTTACCCACAAAGCCTGACCAGGGGAAAGACAGTACAGTCCCACAGTGATGCCAGTGTCCAGAGAAGCAAAAGCATTCTCCGAAATAGTCCCAAGACAAACAAAGCCAAACAAGTCAAGCCAAACCCTACTTGAAGCCAAGAGAATTGGGAAATGTTTAATGTATATCTGACAGTACCAGAATGTCCAGATCCCACCATTTCGCTTTTGCAACCAACACATTTTATTAGTTTTGTCCCGGCTCTTTGAATGATTTCTCTCCTGTATGTAGTATCCAATGGGTCAAAAAGTATGAACCCAGCCTGGCATTTGTTTGTTTTTTATCTTGTGTGAATTAGGTGGTGCTTTGTAGGGTCAGTAAAAGTGTCAGGAAAACATTTCCCACAACCCATACATCTGTGTGGCTTTTCTCCTGTGTGAACTCTCTTGAGGCTCATAAGGGCTGAACTTCAAACAAAACATTTCCCACACTCCTGGCATTTGTACGGCTTCTCTCCCATGTGAAGTCTTTTTTGCTTCACAAAGGCTGAGCTGTAACCAAAATATTTCCCACAATCTGGGCATCTCTGTGTTTTTTCTCCTGTATGAATTCTCTGGTGGCTCACAAGGGATGAATTCTGAGTAAACACTGTCCACAATCCTGGCATTTGTACAGTCTTTCCTGTATGGATGCTCTGGTGTTTCAGAAGTGATGACTTCCAAGGAAAACACTCCAGCACTCCTACACGATTCTCTTCTGTGTAAAACCCTTTCTGCTTCATCAAATAGGAAATGCAAGCAAAATATTTCCCACACTCCTATCACTGGTATGGTTTCTCTCCACTGTGATGACTTTGTGCCTCACAAAATTTGAAAGATAAGAAAAACATTTCCCACACACCTGGCATTGGTATGGCTACTCTCCTGTGTGGACTCTTTTGTGCTTCATCAAGTATGAACTCTGAGCAAAACATTTCCCACACGCCTGGCATAGGTATGGCTTCTCTCCGGTGTGGAGTCTTTTGTGGCTCACTAAGTCTGAACTGTGAGCAAAACATTTCTCACACTCCTGGCATTGGTATGGCTTCTCTCCTGTGTGGACTCTTTTGTGCCTCACCAAGACCGAGCTGTGAGCAAAATGTTTCCCACACTCCTGACATTGGTATGGCTTCTCTCCTGTGTGGACTCTTTTGTGCGTCACCAAGATATAACGGTAAGCAAAACATTTCCCACACTCCTGGCATTGGTATGGCTTCTCTCCTGTGTGGAGTCTTTTGTGCATTACCAAGTTTGAACTCTGAGCAAAACATTTCCCACACTCCTGGCATTGGTATGGCTTCTCTCCTGTGTGGAGTCTTTTGTGGCTCTCCAACCGTGAACTGCGAGTAAAACATTTTCCACATTCCTTGCATTGGTATAGCTTCTCACCTGTGTGGACTTTTTTGTGGCTCACCAAGTCTGAACTGCGAGCAAAACCTTTCCCACATTTCTTGCATTGGTATGACTTTTCTCCTGTGTGGCGTTTTTTGTGCCTCACCAAGCCCGAGCTGTGAGCAAAATGTTCCCCACACTCCTGACATTGGTATGGCTTCTCTCCTGTGTGGGATCTTTTGTGACTCACCAAGCCTGAACTCTGAGCAAAACATTTCCCACACTCCTGGCATTGGTATGGCTTCTCTCCTGTGTGAAGTCTTTTGTGACTCACCAAGGCTGAACTGCGAGCAAAACCTTTCCCACACTCCTGGCATTGGTATGGCTTCTCTCCTGTATGGAGTCTTTTGTGGCTCACCAAGCCTGAACTGTCAGCAAAACATTTCCCACACTCCTGGCACCGGAATGGCTCCTCTCCTGTGTGGAATCTTTTGTGCTTCACCAAGGCTGAACTGTGAGCAAAACATTTCCCACACTCCTGGCATTGGAATGGCTTCTCTCCTGTGTGAAGTCTTTTGTGCGTCACCAAGTGTGATCTCTGAGCAAAACATTTCCCACACTCCTGGCATTTGTATGGCTTCTCTCCTGTGTGAAGTCTTTTGTGCTTCACCAAGTTTGAACTGTCAGCAAAACATTTCCCACACTCCTGGCATTGGTATGGCTTCTCTGCTGTACGGAGTTTTTTGTGGCTCACCAAGTGTGAACTCTGGATAAAAGATTTCCTACACTCCTGGCTTATGAAATCCTCAATTC